GAAACCACCTTTCCATCCACTGACTCCTCTATATTGATGCGAAAATTGCTGCTGCTGCTGCTGCTGCTGCCACCGCCACTGCGTCCACCACCTCCTAAAGAAGCTATAGAAAGAGAAAGCTTTAGAGTGAGGGAACCACCCTTCTCTCTCTCCCAAGGTGGTCAGGACTGTGGGTGGGCTCTGGGAAAACTGGACAGCACCCCTGAGAATGGCTATTGGCCATCTTTTAAGAGCTGCTAGGAAGTCAAGTCCGGTGTTGATTTACTTATGGAAGAGATGGGCGGTATCAGTGGGTAGCAGGTACACCCGGCAGTGAGCAACCACCTCAGGGCAATTGTGGGCATCTTCAACCCCAGCCCCACCTGGGGCTGCTAGAGGGTACCGCTGAGGACGAGGGTGGACTGGACTGGGAGTGTCCCTGCCCTACTGTGCTGTTTGGTCTATTTCTCCTTCCTCCCCACTCCAAGGGAAGTGGTGGCTTCCACAGCTCCTCTCCCCACCCTACACTAAAAGAGTCGAGCCTTCCTACCTTCCCTCATGCCAACGCCAGCCATCCTGAAAGAGAAGGGGAAGCAGATGTAAGCAAAGGGCAAAAGCTCAGGGCTCCCTAAGGAAAACTCATGTGGACAGCTAAGCAGTCCTCTCCAGCCCCCACCCCACCACCCCCACGCCCAGCTCCTCTAGGAGCTGGGACATCCTGGAAGCCCAGCCAGGCCTGCCACACCAGAGGAAATAGATTCTGATCTACAATAACACCCCATCTGCTTCATGCAGAGAGGGGAACAAGCATTAAATACTAGAGACCAGAGACCAACCTCTATCATTTACAGAAGAAATAGGTCCAGAGAGGCAACGTGACCTGCCCAAGGTAACAGCAAAGACCAGAGTACAGAATCCAGACCCTTACTTCCTGCTCAGTTATCTTTTCACTGTACCATGCAGCTGCTTAGGGACACCCTGCCACCCCCATAAGATGACCCTCCACCCCAGCCACAACCAATCCCTCCCCTTCCTCCCTTGTGCTGAGTCCCTACTTGGCATCCTGGCCCTCGAGCAGGCTGCGGTAGGTGGCGATCTCCTGCTCCAGCCGCGTCTTGATGTCCAGCAGCATCTTGTACTCCTGGTTCTGAGCCTCCATCTCGCATCGGAGCTCACTCAGCTGGGCCTCAATGCTGCTGATGAGCCCCTGGATCTGCTGCAGCTGTGTGGCGTAGCGGCACTCTGTCTCTGCCAGTGAGTTCTCCAGCCCAGCTTTCTGGTAGGCAACAGATCCATAAACACATCAGGTTGGCAAGGAAACCACCGAGGGCATGGGAGTAGGGGATTGAGACGGGAGCAGGGAACTAT